CTAATATAATCTAAAAGTTAGCGGCACGTGTTTTATTTACCTGTAACGATCAGTTCTACTTGACTTGTTGGCATCGAATGTAAAGAACCAGAGAGTAAGAACAGGAGACATTCATATGTACCAGAATCAGTCAGGGCTACATTTTTGATGACCAAAGTAGCTTTATCCTCCAAACTCACTCGTACTGTAGGTGTTCGTAAACGAGCTGGACAGGTGTGACCGATCTTAAATCTACGTCCATCATATGCGTCGGCATATCCAATCATATAACTGTAGTTATGGAAGTACCATCTTGGTGATTGTGAATCGAACTCTGTGTTGATATTCTCAGCCTGGTAGTCCCATGTAAACTTAACAGTTTTACCTTTCACTACGTACAGTTTGTTAGCAGGAACGTTGGTGAATCGAGCCACTGCATTTATAGAAAAAATAATAGTAGTAATCATGTATTCGTTTTTCAAAAATATTCGTTATTCATTCTCGTTCATTTTATTTCCCGTGCGTATCTGTTCTTATGTATAGACAAATTACGTCAGAATATGATGAGCTATATTCTATACAAACATACTCCGAAGTCTAAAACGCTACACTCGAAATTTGCCATTTCGCTGCTAATGAAGTCACAGCGTACCATACAAATGCATGTTGATTTCATTATTAATATGCCTGTACCTGTAACAGTAATCATAGACAAAATATGTTGGCACGATTATGATTCTCTGTTACTTTAGATCCCTTGGGTTGGATTGGGATTTTTGGGTACCCCCGGAAAATAGTTGAAGTTCATAAAGGTGAACTGGAAAATCATGATTATCTCTCTGACGAAACTAAAGGTATTGATCAGATTTCGCTGCAACACGGTTTGGAGGGTGAGAGGACAAGTTCTCTTGTATAAGTAGGCATGAAAACTAAAAAAAAAAAACACGTGTGACAACAATTTTGCCAATGATTGTATCTTTACTTTTTGGCATTGAACTGGAAAGGCCGCTACAGTCTGAAAACATATGTACCCGAAAATCAAAACCGAAACCGATAACCTAAACACAAATCCAAACAAAAGTCCAACTCAAATCCAAAAGCAAACAAAACAAACAAATGATAGCACCGTGTACCTTCAACAATCAGTTGAGTTTTACTTGTTGGCATTGAACTTAAACGACCACTGGATAAAAACAGTCTGCATACATATGTACCAGAATCAGCCARWGTYACATTHGTGATGACCAAAGTAGCWTTACCCTSCACACTCACTCGTACTGTAGGTGTTCGTAATCGAGCTGGACAAGTGTTTGAGTTGATCTTAAATCTACGTCCATCAAATGCGTCACCATAACCAATGAAAAAGCGGTCGGTCTGGTAATACCATCTTGGTGATTGTAAATCGAACTCTTTGTTAATATTGTCAACATGGTAGTMCCATGTAAACTTAGCAGTATGGCCTTTAAGGACATATAATTTGCTTACAGGATGCTTCGTGAATCGAACCGCTTCGTCTGTAGAAAGAGAAAAGGAAGAAATAACTAACTAACTAAAAAATTCCTAAAAATAACGATATATAGCTAGTGGATATAGCGATATATTTTGCCGAAAAACAACTGAAGAGACGAACGACGACTTCGACTGAGACTTCAACATAAACTAACATGTATTATTTCATACTTGATTCAGTTTTCTTTGTTATTCATAGTATTGTATCTCGCTTATTCCCCAGCTCGTTGTGTATTCAAGTGCTTTATATCGAAGTTTCAGGGATATATCTATATAWTGCCCTTGAATACTAATGTATATTGCCCTTGAATACCTAATTAACTACTACGTTCAACTTGTTACAAAAGGTGTATTGTTAGCATTGGTCTCMWKGGACTAACGAGAAAATTGGTTATGCAAATTATTCCCGTTGGGAATTTTCAATACTGTAAATTTYGTAATCTTTCTAATCGAGGTTACGGCCCGAGGGATGTATAGGCTGATTGCCGACGTTCGAGGTATGTAACTCTTACCTAACTGCTTTATTTGCCGCATGGATGACCCGGAAATAAGTATGAGAAAGTAATTAAAAAAATGACTTTTTATTCAAATACTTGATCGCTACCCMTAACGATTAAAACTTCATTTTGGAATTAAATCCACAAAATAGGCTGTAGGTTTCCGTACACAAACACTGTCAAGGAGGACGTACGAAATTGAAATGATCGATTTTTAAAAGTTTTAAAGATACCTTCAAATCCATCACTTCTCTGTTTATAAAATAGAACGGTTAATATATCCATAAAACCTACCTGAAGATTGAACTAGCAGGAAGAGAACAAAACAACTGTACATACCAGCATGCAATCCACGAGCCATTATTGATWTTACAATAAACTTGACATTGACTGCAGTTACTTGAAGAAATCTAATCTTAGAGTGTAAAAATAAGTTCATTATTCGGATGAACGGACGAGTTGAATCAGCAGCATTGAAGCTGATATGATAACGAAATAKCAGCTTTCTGATTACCAGCAGTCGGGAGTTTGACCCCATATTAAGCCACAGTCATTTTGTGACTAGCTTGTGACTGACTTGTTCACTATTATAATAATGCATGTCTCCGATGTCACGCTTTCTTCTATTTGTTGAAGCGAAAACATCCTGGACAAACTAAGTATTAGTTTGGGTTTGGATGACATTGCGCAATAAGAAAATATAGGTAGATAGGATAGCACGGTCGATATACAGTGTATACGATAGACAATGTAATTATAAGTATGCATCGCAACCTCGAAGTTTTGAAGTTCATTAACATCATTTCGGCCTTTTTAATCAGCAGTTATGCATCTCCGTAATCATCATCCTCCCCCACCTTATCTTCGAAACCACTGTCTCTATAATCGTGAATTTTTTTTAATACAACTTTTTATTAATTTTTTTATAATTTTTATTAAAATACAATGTTTGCCTATATGTAATTTAATAATGACCATAACGATTCTTAATATAAATACGTTTTAATAAACCTTCTTCATCGCCATAGATAATATTGCAATGCTATAGCATTATCATCTCATTATCATCGAAATGACTTGGCAACTTTTCCCCCCTTGTCACAATGACGTCATATGCTAGAAAATGCTCAAACTGAAACATTGTTATCATCATAACCAGTTAAATCACAGGACGCCAAATTTAAGTCTCTTAATCATATTGT